ATTGAAACTAAGCTTTTCGAATGGTTATGAAATGATCAAATTCAAATTTAAATTTGATCCCTCAGCGATGTCAAGAATTGTTATTCGCCAGTTCTCCTATATTGTACCTTCCTCAGGCTTAAACTGTACTTCCAGAACGTGGTGCAAAATTGCAGGATCGACATTTTGTAAACCAATTTTGGCGCTGACGTTCTGTCAATACGTCATCTCCATACACATTGAATATTATTTTTTCTTCTTAGAACAGCATTTTTACCTTGACGATAGAAAAAAAGTAAAGTATGCTAAAAATGCTGCTTTCCACTTTCCATATTTGAAAGGGAGCAAATCGAAAATTACAGCATAGAATCAATCGAAATTCTTTACAAGAATTGTATATCAGCTGTCAAAATATATAATGAGTTTGTGTTTTACGAGCGAATGAGGCTGTGTTAAAGTTTGAGTAAATCCTCTGTTCGAAAAAAAGCGAAAATATTTTCTAAGCAAGCCAATATTTGATATATACATGGTGCAACTTCAACAACAGAATTTAAGGAGGGTATATATATATATATATATTTAAGTAATCAAGTTTATCCCTGAATGCATCTTTTAAAATATTTTTAGATTTCTCTATCAATGGTTATTTTGGATATCTCACTGTTTCATACTTTCTCTATTCTCTGTAAAATTGGTTTTTTATGGACTATAAACTGATTAGCATCTGTCAAAAACTAAAAAAAAAAGAAAATAATGAATAATGTAGCAAAATTTCTATACAGTTATTCGAAAGCTCACTTTTTGCACTACTTCTTTAATTTATTCAAAGAACAGAAATCCTTCACATAAAATCTGTAACAGAAATATGAATGAAGAATGAAGAGAGGTGAATTTTCGAATGTTCTTTTAAAAAAATTGTTGTTAATTTAATTTTAGGAAGAAACTGGCTAGCTTTTTATTGATATTGTGTTATTTGGGGCATTATGATATTTAATTTTTTTCTGTACCATTTAAATCTATTCCCAATGCTAAGTAATTTCAGCATTCTCATTTTGTGTCCAAAAAAAATGCCGGGAAGCATTAAAAGAACAAAAAAAATTATTATGAAAATTTTTTCCGATGAAAAGTACCTTCAAGTACTTTTTGGTGATTCTAACATAGTTTTGAACACACATCACTCCTCACTTTTGGAAAGTCTTTTTTTTTATGTAATAGCACATAAATTACAAAATTTATTTCAGTAATTAATGTAAGAAATTAGATAAAATGCAGACGATAAAATTTTTTTTATCGTCTGCATTAATAATTTTTGTCAAAGGCAACTAGCAGTTCAAATCTTTATAGCCTATGGTAATTGGCAACGATATCGAGAATAGAAATTCTGCTTAATTCTTTATTCTGCTCAGATAAGATCCGAAACGAAGTTGTCTTGGTTACTGGAAATAGTCCTTCTTTGAACCCCAGATAGTTTGTAAGACTTTACTTGACTTCTTCTCTGTTTGCGACATTTATTTGTCAGTGGAATCTTTCGTCTTGGCTTGCAATTAGGGTTTCCAAGACTTTACGCGAACTTGAGATCCTGGGATAAAAATATCTGTTTCGGTAATTCAGAGAAATCTTCAAATGGATTTAACTTTGGTATTTTCTTAGAATAGAAAAATGGTACGCTTAATGTTTTACATGTTCCAGATCTCACTGCCACAGTTTGCAAGTTGGAAAAGGAAATAGATCTTCAACAAAATTTTTTAATTTATTTTAAGACAGTTGTTATTTTAGATAGTGTTCACTTTATATAATTTTAACGATTTACGTTATTCTTAACTGAGAGCTGTGATCCATATCTTCCAACTTCATAGTATTATTTCTGGAATAATTCCAAATATGAAAAGTAATAAATAAAAATTATGAAAATCTTTTGAATTTTTTGAAACTTGCAAATTGATTACGTTATTAAGTGTACAATTATAAACGTAGTAATCTTTTTACAAACACAATAATTCTTTTCTTTTTAAATTTACATAATTTTAATATCAACCTGATTGAAAATTTTTGATCCCTTTTAGTCATTTTAGAGACAAGTCCGATCTTGTTTTTAAATCAATTTTTTCCTTTTAACTTTATGAAAACTCAGATAGCAGTGTCTGGTTGATTTTAATTTTAGCAATTACCTTTATCACAAGTCGCAGGATAAGATTTATTAAAGATTTCCAAATAAACCATGCAAGTTTGCAACAATGTTAAATTTAACTATGCTAGTTTACGCTCCATGAGTTTCCCATTAAGCTTGTATAAGCAACTCTTTTATATCGAGACTGAATCTGCCTTTATAAAACAGGGCTAGAAAGACCTTCTAAAGTTGTAGGTTAAAAATCATTCGCTGATCAAGAGGAGAAAACGTTCTCAGACCGAGGATAAGTACACCTTCTCAAAGTTATTTTACATTTTACGACCATCACTGAGACAAGGTTTATTTGCGCAGTCTTTTATATGATTTCTTTAACATTTTAAATGAAAATGTTGGCCTGAGCATTATGCAAACCAATTGTTAAACTTGAGAACCTGGATATTGCTAGACTAAAAAAAGGGCAAAATCAAGGTTTAGAGCAAAATAGTTTTTATAGTTCGACAGTTTTTATCGTGAAGGTTTTATTCAGTCTTTAAGGAAATAAGGTTTGGGCATACTAATAAATCTACTAATTTTTTTAAAATTAAACTTTCTCTGCTAACCAAATAAAAATGAAAATACTACGTTCGCCGTAAAGTTGCTTGATACCTGAGTATCTTTGGGGGCAAGTAGAAAAATTAAATAAAAGTAACAAAAAGTGCATGATATAAAAAGGTGAACTCCCTGAATGGATTTTGATTTAATGAGTGGATTTTCATGTAATAGGACTTGATGGCTCTGGGGCAAAACCTGTTAATGCTGTTGTGGTTTCTAATGGTACTTGACAATACTAGCAAGCGAATTTCTGTTTTTCAGTGGCGCCATCTATGTTCAAGAATAAGACAATAGCAAACATCACAGCTCATTAATCGATCGGACCCATTCATCAGACATCCATTCATTCATCCACAGTTCACAGTTTTGAACTCAGAGAACAATCACTCTCCAATTAAGTACCCCCAGAGGTTATGGTTTGTAATGGAGACATGGAGGATTTTGTGACTCGTCATATTTAACCTGCACCAATCAGCATTTACAACAGTCTGCAGCCGCCAGTGGGAATCAAACTCACAAACCAAAGGGCCCAACGCCCAACCAACGAAACTATTCAAGTCAGGGCATAACCTTAAATAAGCTAATTAATTCATGTAATCTATATAACTTGTTTTACAGAATCTAATACAGCATGCCATTTTTTGGTCTGACTCAGTTTACTGAGCTGCTGATCAAAATACAGGGGAATGGGAGAGCCGAAATCTTCAAAATATGGACCCAATAGTTTAGAAAAAAAAACATGCCTCAAAACTTTTGTTTATTAAGCATGTTAAAGAGTTTCCCCACTATTATAAAATGCATTTTTCCTAAGAAAGTTCATTATGAAAACCTTTTTTTTTCCAATTAGCTATTAGTATTTTTTCTGCTATTTAATTTAATATTTGTGGAAAAATCTTGGAATTGTAAGGTATATAATATTTTATATCGTTTTGAAATATATTAATTACGAATGACAAAATTTACATTTTGAAAGAAATCAGTTGATTAGTTTTATAGATATCTGACTTATCTAGACTCCTTACCTGACTTAGTTTCCTAAAAAAAATTATAAGCTAGTTGTAGCAATAAAATGCGCATTTACATCCTTTTTTTTTGAGGCAAATTGATTTAGCAGATAAATTTATTAGCCAATAAAAACATTATTTTTTTTAAAAATGAAATGTCTCACTAAATTATATACTAATTGACACCCAGAAAGCTAAAGCATATGAGAACTAATAAATTTTTTAGCACCATGTCAAAATGCCTTACTCTGATAAATATTTTGATGAATTAGAAGTGTATTAAACTTGTCTAGGCGAAAAATATTTTAAAAGTAAACAACTTTTATAGCCTCATTTATTGATATTCTCTTTTAGGCTCAACATTTTTTATGGGATATTTTTTTAAAAAAGTAACAGTCAGTTTTGACATGTAAGCGCTGCAATATGAAAAGGATTATTAAATTTCCTGAAAAATATCAAAACCGATCGGATAGATGTAGCTCAAAAGATTTTAAACATTTACAATATGTTTTTTCCAGTCAAATCAAAATGGCTATAGTTAGGGAGAAAGTAAGCAGAAAGTCAACATTCCTGAACTGTTCTTTCACTGTATTTCCTAGAAAAAGATTTAATTTTTAAACATTTTCTCAAAAAGTAACAAACTGATGCTTTTGAAAGAAGTCTAAGTGTACTATATTTATAAGAATTATTATCAAAAAAGACAAAGTATTTTTTTTTTATTTGAAAATTATTTATTATGTATCTCTGTACGGTGTTTTCTTATGACCATAAATAAATTATTTAATAGATGTTTTTAAGAATTTATTAAGTATTGATATGAAAAGAATTTGAATAAAAGTTTAAAAAATTTGAAATCAATAAAAAATACATTAAGAAATAAAAATTCTAATTTCAAACCTAAAGTATAAATCATAAGCAAAGCATTATTGTTTTTATCAATTGTAAGTATTATATCAAAAACTTTCAAAGTAGATGAACAATGCAGTTTACAAAAATAAATAAAAAAGAAACACAATGACTTATTTAAGTTTATGATAATATCAATTAAACTTGATAATTTTGCGATGTTAAAACACGTTTTCGTTAGATAAACCAATCAATTTTAATGAGAAACATGTATAATGAAACTATTTCATCGAAATACCTCAAAACATTGAGCAATTATAAATAAAATCGAACTTTTTACCTTAAATGCAATTTTTAAGTTTTTGTGTAATATATCTTTTTTTCTGAGATGGAAAAGGAACAGAAAATCTTATATTATCATATGATTTCCAAAACGAAAAGCAAAGGCTTACTTGTTTAAAAAGAAGTATGGTATTCTAACAACTAAATCCAAGCTTGAAAATTTTCATAAAATGATTCCATAATGTCCTTTTGGTATAAACAGCACTTAATACGCTAAAATGCATCCATATAAAAGTATTTTCAGTAGCTTGTTTTTAACCAAATTGTCACTAATTCATAATATAAACTTGAAACGCTTTATTTATTTATTAATTGGTTAGTTATTGGTTATTGCAAATACATAAATTTTCAGGCTTGTGTGCTCAAAATAGGCTTATAAACCTTCGTTAAGTAGAGGAGGACAGATAGCACAATAGGAGAGACAGCACCAAGTAGTACCGCATCCGATATCCTTATTAATTGGTGCCACATACATTTGTAAGCTTGTGTTGTCAACTAAGGTTTCTAAACCCGTATCAAGTAGAAGGACAGGATGCACAATACAGAGAAAGACAACACGAAGATACATCCAGGGTAACAGTCGGATTCGAACCCGTTACCTCTGAGCTCCGCACAGTGGTTAGCTGGCGATATCACTTGGCCAGGAAGACCTCTAAATCTCCTTATTTGATGAAAAAACTTTTTTCCGAGATATTTCAACCAATTACTTTTATTTATTTATTTTTTTAAATGTTACAAATGCAAATGCTGAGCGGTGGTGACTCAAAGGAAAAGAGCGTTCGCCCCTTCCAATGAAGTGAACCGGGTTCGCATCCTAGGGAAGGCTGGTCGATACGAATTCCGCAGTTCGGTTCGCAACGGATGCAGTACTGACGTAATCCTCAGTGGTAGACGGGTCATGGGTTAGAATCCCCTTTCCGTAGGAGGTTTTCCACTCTATGCAGCGTGAATGTGGGTTAGTTCCATCAAAACGTCCTCCAGGAAGGCAAATTTCTCTCAATACTTGATCAAGGAGTTCCCTTGTCTTCTGGATTGGGTTCAAAATTAGAAGACTACAGAGTTGAACATTAATCGAACACCCGAAATTGGGTCGGCTATTCAACGACGGTGATAAAATAAAAATATACATATGCTGGATTGTTTCTTCGGCTAATAAGACGTATAATCGGCTAATAAGTATCGTCACTAATAAGTATTTAAATTGAAGAGCTGAGAGCACAAATTAGAGAAAGATGTCACACGGGAATATGTAGGCCACAGCAGAATTTAACACTCTACCTGCACGTTACAAAGCGTTCGACATGTAGGCGAAGCCACTCAAAATGGCATGCTCCGCACTTATGCATACAAGCTGGTTTATTTGTTCATTTTTAAATGCGACTTATTAGCTCTTGTCATGTTGAATAACCGTATAGTACGAGTTTGAGAATGATGTCACAAAGAGATATCCAGTATTACGGCGGAAATTGAATCTGGTACCTCCATGCTACGGTACGGTTAGTGTAATGACTGGATTGATTAGCTAGACAGGCCCCATTGGGTATTTATCATTACTGAAACGCATGCAGGCTCGTGCGCTCAATATAAAGAACGTCTTATAAACCGTTGTTATTATGAAAAAATTGCAGCAAAAAGTAAAGAAATTCAGTTTAAAGATGCATTGAGTGTTAAGTTGAATTTTGAATTAACCACTTTTAAGTATCAGAGCATTCGATAGAAGGATAACACCCTTCGCCAATAAACATATTTTTTCACAATTATAGCAATAAAATTGAAATTAAACAATTATAAACTGAATTTCTAAAAAGCAATTCTTTTTAATAATAATACAACAATTCTCAACTTATGTGCAGCAAGTCTGGAGCACATTCTTTCGCAAGAACGTAATAGTAGTTATATCTCTTTTCATCTTGCACATCAAAAAGAGTTTTCCATTGCAATAAGTTTTTTTTCCCACAATCCTGCATATGTTTGTAAATAAAATTCTACTTCGCATTTTTCACAATTTCTTTTGTATAAAACGAATTCTAATTTCTCATTGTAGTGGTTGTGTGGTCTTTTTTTTTACAGAATCTTACTATTTATATAATATTCTAGTACGTAATATTCAGAAATATATATAGCATTCAAGTATATGGTTATATGAATGGTATGTCTAAATATATGAATACCAGTAAATATTTGATATGTGATTAAACAAGTATTAAGTTCTTTTACCGTGGTTTACTAAATAGGCTAATGCGGTACTGGACAGATCATTCTTTATACACAATTTGTTTGAAAACCAAAAGGTGCTTTCATAAAAGTTTAAACATAAAGAAAATTAAAAAAGCAAAACAAGCACAGCATCTCTAAATTTAAACTCCAAATTTCCTTTTACCAAAAAAGCTGCTTTTAAAATCACTGCACGACATATAAGACAGTTCAAGAAATACGCTTTGAAATATAACAGTACCACTTTTACTACACGCTACTGCAACTACGGAGTTTCCAATTTTGTTCTATTTTGAAAGATATAAAAAAAATAAATTCCGAAACACTTTTCCTGAAGAAATATGGAATAATTTAAAAGTTTAGAAAAGATGCATCAAATGAAAAATGTCTGCCTCTCATAAATATGCAAGAAAAAATTATGGATTTTCTTCGGGATGTTGACTTGACGTGTGATTTTTTTTCAATTCCCCATCAGTATTTAAAAAAAATCTTTAGGAAACAAATTGCTCAGATTTGCAGTTATAAGTTTAAAGGTACAGGTGCTCTTAAAAATAAAGCTCTAATTTAATTACTGAAAAACTACGTTTCTATTATAACTTTGAAATGACAATCGTGTTTTTAAAGCAACTTCCTCTTACAAAAAAAATTATTATTATATTTATGTTACATGATATTTTAGGTATATGTTTAGTACATATACCTAACATATGTTCATTTAGAAGTATATGTTTAGACTTATAAATTTTCAAGGTTACTTTCAGACATATACACCGAAGAGCTATTACATTTCGACCACCTTCCATGTATAACAATAGGCTCACACAGGTTTTCATGGTTTTTTGCCCAGGAACAATGATTTCATGGGGCACATTAGGACCCATAATCCTTATTGAACAATCCATGACGTCTATAGGCTACTTGAACATAGTTGCAAGCCAGGTTCAGAAATTCATGGCAACGGTTTTTCCTGCGGGTGATGGTGTTCACCAACAGGATAATGCACCATGTCATAAGGATAGAATCGTCGACGAACATTCCAGTGACTTTCAAGTCATGTCTTAGCCCCCAAATTCTGCTGACTTTAATCCAATAGAGCATTTGTGGTCCTACTTGGAAAACCAAATTCGTGCTGCCACGCTACCACTTCGCAATGTGAGGGAATTGCAGGACCAGTTGGTGAGCGCTTGATACCAGATACCTCAGACTACCTATCAGCACCTTGTGAAATCAATGCCACGACGGGTGTTAGCAGTTCTGAGGGCTAAAGGTGATCCTACATGTTATTAGCAGGGTGGTTCTTAATGTAATGGCTCTTCGGTGAACGTATTCTTAAATTTCATTTCAGTTATTTTCTTAAGGGGAAGAAATATTTATCAAAGATTCCTAAAACATTATTTAAAATTTATTGATGAAATGGATAGTTCAACTATATAAGTTAATAAATTATCATTACTGTTTTGATATTCAAAAGGAATTAACAAATATGCAGTCTTATAACCAAGAAAGCGGGCACTGACAAATCAGGACGCCATGGACTAAATGGCCCATTTGCTGTAAAAAATACTGGCGTATAGTTGTCACCTTTTATTTTTTCTGAGGTAACCTAAATACATTTTTGAGTACAGAACAATTGCGCAAAAAATTATATGAAATTTAAAAGAAGCATTTGTTTGAAGATTTAGTGCTTACACATTACGAAAAATTTTCTTGTTTTAAACCGAAACGTTTTTGCAATAGAATCATTACATTAATTTTAATGCACATTAAAATATGTGTTGTAAGCAAACGAACAAACATGAAATTTATTAATAAATAAATAAAACTACAACAGTGACAATAAAGATTAATTATTTGACTACATGCATCGTAAAAAAATTAGCTTATCTCAAAATCAAAAGGGATGGCAACTACACATCAAATATAGAGCAATATTGAAGTTCACCACCAGCTACGGAATGCTAAAAATTGCGACTTAAATTTCGTCTGAAAGTCGCAACCCGATTGTCACTTTTTCGTCTAAGATACATCCCATATGCACTTTATTGTCATTTTATTAATAAATATGCAATGTTTATGATTACTTTATAATATTCTGTAATTTATTTCATTGCACGCTTATTTCTTAAAATTTTCTTAACTGTAGAAATTAACCTCGTATTGTTTGCCATATTCTGAGAAATGGTTCAAGGAAATTCCTTACATTTTTGATATCAAAATTATTTTTAATCATTTAAACTTGTAAAAGTGGTCATGTGTTTAAAATTGACCATTCCTAAATACACTATAACTCACTACTGGCTCCTATCAAAATTTCTCAATTTTGTCTTATATCATCAAATTTTTAATGTTCCTTAAAAATGAGCTTTTACATAATCTGACTAAGCATGTTTTAACATTTTAATAATCCCTAGTTCCAATGTATTTTTTCATCAACCACTTTTTTATCGGTCATAATTTTCTAAACAAAATAAGCACGTGGCAAAGCAGAATAACTGAAAACATTAAGAACTGCAACATGCTCCGTGGAAATCAATCCGGTGGAAGTTTGCTGCCTGGAGCAAATACTTCCGCAGACGTCCCGTCACGAAAAGTTGAGATTAATGTTTTAGACACAGGGAAGAAAATGATTAAAACACCAGGCATAAAGAGAAGAAAGGCATAATTGTTTTCGATCCGTTTAGAAATTAAAAATAGCCCCTGTAACGTAAATTGAATTGAATCTAATAAAGCTTTTAAAAGCATAATTTTATTGTTTAAAGCCCTATCCATAGTGAGGTAAAATTCTGGAATAGCCCACCCCTTGGGCAATTTTTTGAAATCTCGCCAAGTTGGCGATTATTACTTGAATTAAAGTCGTTTTTTTTATTATTTAAAAAGTAATATAAACCATTAAAATTTATTAAACTATTTTAAAAAGAAACAAATAAAAAATAACTTGCCTTTACTCTGATGAACCAGATCTACCAGAAACCTAGCATGGTGAGATTTCAAAAAATCACCACTGGTGGATTATTCTAGGATCCACCCCAAAAATCTTCTATGTAGCACATTTAGTATTGTATAAATGTGCTGAGCGACTCAC